CCCCCCCGCCCCCCCCCCCGCAGAGGCGGTGCTGGGGGAGGGGGGGGAACCAGCTTTTAAGCCGGCTCCCCCTCAGCACCAGCCCTTGCTCCCCCCTTTGATACCTCTTGCTGTCAGAGGCAGCGGAGGGTGGGTGGCGAGGGGCAACTAGTTGAGTCACTACTCAACCACCCAATTACCCAATAAGCATATGCTTATTGGGTAGTCGACTAGTTGCTTACATCCCTCGCATGGGATTATCCACAAGTGGTGAAGGGCTAAAGTTGAGGCCCATGGTGGCAGGGGGCATGACTGTGGGTGCATCTCTATGCTCTGGCTATTCCCAACCACTTGGGGCTGCCGGCAGTCAGGCATAAATTAGAGCATAGATTTATGCTTGGGTCTGCTCCAGCATATACTGGGGGACAAACTGGCCCATGTCCAAACGGATAGACACAATAGTGGAATACAACTATCTTTGTCCTTCACCACACTTAAGACCTGCACCAAGCACAGCTTGTACCACATGAATCAGGGCCTAGAGTCTACGAAATTATGCATTATGTATCTCTCTGTATGTGTATACACTTTTGGGCTGAAAAGCAATATAAATGTAGCAGCATAGCATACTGATCCCATAGCATCAGAAATCTGCTTTGTTTTAATCCATCTAATGCGATGTTTTATATCAATGCTATTTTGGATACACGTGATGTTGCAAGCAATCTTATCACATGTAGACTGAGAACCTAATTCAGAAAGAAAGAAAAAAAACTTATGTATCATGTTGATCAAAATTACTCCATGTATCCAAAACCCAGGCATTTATTGGCTATCATCTTCACAATCCCTCCTCAATATCACTTACTATACTTCTCACCCTCAACACCACACGCTCAAGTGAGTAAATCTAAAAAGACACAGTCCACCCAAAAACTGTTCTCTCTTACATACAGCAGCATCATTTTTTTTAGAATAGTTTCAAAACTGTTCCTATCTTGAGTTGTCAACAATGACTCATGCTATTCCTGGAGATTTCAACCCTCCCCCCCCTTCTCCCCATCCAACACCATACAATGTCATTTCCTTAAAATATCCCATTAAAATCTCCAGGACTGCTTTCAATAGTCGCTGGGAGATTGAGGCGGATTTTGGGAGACTCTAGATCAGTGTTTCTTAAACTGTGTTTTGTGGTACACCGGTGCACCACGAGGCAGTTAGAGGTGTGCCGCGGAGAACAACAGAGTTCAAAATGGCTGCCCTTAAAGGGTCAGGCAACTTTTTTTTTTTTTTTGCTCAATAACATTTCCCCCCAGCCTTCCCTCTCCCCGCCCCAACAAAAAAGTCCTTGGTGTTCCTCATAAAAAGAATTATTGTTTCGTGTTCCTCGGTCTTAAAAAGTTTAAAAAACACTGCTCTAGACCAATCCTGAAGGGTTATTACTCCTGTCTGAAAGAGCATACACAATATGTTAAACCCATCTTAGAACTTTTTGATCACAGTCTTTTACTCCACATATCAGCAAATTTCTGGAATTTCTGCTGATGTGGTATTCAGAGACCTTGGGACAAATGGAAATCCTGATACCGCACACTGTAACTCAACCAGCTAAGGACCAAGCATAGAAAAAAGTACAACCCCCAAGACTCTAAAGTGGATGGGTAGCTGGAAGTGAAGAGAAAATAGAGTGTATACTAGAAAGCAGCCCTGTCTTCCCTACTAAAGTCCTACTGAGGGTCCACATAAGAGTGACGTGGAGAAGTGGGCCAACACAATGGAGGTGTATACACTGAAGATGGAAGATGGAATTTCCAACTCCAGTAGACATAGCCACATTCGCTCAATCAGGGCTAAATAAGAATTTTAATCAAGGTGGAGCCAGGAGTGAGACAGAGTAGCAGCCCTGGACACAACACAATCCAAGATCCTAGGTGGTTACTCAGGGCGGCTAGCCCCTCCCATGGCAATGCTGCTATTTTTAGCATACTAGCTTGATCAGAGCTAGGTCAGGTATGTCTACTCCCCAGCTAGACATTATACCTGCCAGCTCCAGTGCATATACCCAATGCCCACGGACCATTTTCATCATCTAAATAGGGCTTATGAGGGAGTTAAATGGTGCACAGGCCTCTTGCTAGCTCTCCCCATAGGGGAAATTTAACCCCAAATAAACTTTTACATTCTCAGAGAAGGCGAGAGACTGCTCCACTGGTTATACCCATAGCACATAAATATGCATTAAAAACGCTGGTAGGCAACAAACCTTATGCACCTCCACTGTTTGAAGTATAATTGAGGGGTTTTTAAAACAGGGAACTCACAAGTCCATGTTTCAAAGGTGTTTAATTAGCATTTTCCTGTATTTCTGTTCTGGACTTGGAATGGTTTTAATTCAGATCCATAATAGAGGCTCCACTGGTAGTGAGTAGCTTATATGGGTGTGTTTCAGTACAAAGAAAAAATAGATGTAATTGTGGGAGTTCAACAGGGCAATTGTATCAGTGCATCTGGTATAGCTGCGAGAAGGTTGTCTCTCTCACTCCCCATGAGTTTGTAAACTTGGTTGCTATTGCCCGTATTCATATTGCATGGTAATATCACAAGCCTGTTCCTATACCATTGTCTGCTGTGGAAAACCTGAGTACTTTCAGGGATCTTGATTCCAAAGGTTTCCCCTCCTCCTCAATAGAGAAAAGCAGAGCAGGCTACATTTTACCCATTCCCATTAGCGATGCGCCCCTTTGTCTCTTGGTGAAAAGAGGGTGATAGTTAACATGCCACACACAGAGACTCAGATTTGCTCCCTGGGATGCTCCAGTTACCAGCAGGGTTACCAGGGTGCGATTCCCCTTACAGCAGCAACCCTGCCAAAATTGTTAGTGCACATTCTTTATGGGGTTTGGCGTTGGCCAACCCAGTCCACAGAATGCATCTCCTAGCAATACAGCCATAGCATCTCCCAAGCATTCAGTTGGGGAGTCTAGAATGGATGCTTGGCCGTAAATTAAAGTTGTCCTCTCCTGCCAGACCACTAGACATAGAATCACAGAATCCTAGGGCTAGAAGAGACCTTAGGAGGTCATGGAGTCCAGCCCGCACTAGACATAGAATCACAGAATCCTAGGGCTAGAAGAGATCTTAGGAGGTCATGGAGCCCAGCCCCTGCCTAAAGCAGGACCATGGTGTGGTAGAATGTCTACCCACTCTTGGGGGTAACTACCCTAATGGTGACAAAGGAGGTGGTTTGCATGGGGGTAGGCCATCAACTGCTGTATCAAGGTAGTGAATTAAAGGAAAAACTAGCTTGTTTTCAAAACACGGCAGAAAATCTAGTCCTTGGTAAATGTTATAAGCTAAAACCAAATCTATATGATCATCAGAAACATTCTCTTTTTATTTAAGGCTCAATCCTGCAAGATGCTGAACAGTCTGGCCCGGCTCCAGCAAAAGAACTGCATCAGTTCCATTGACTTTAGTGGATTGATTGACTCCAGAGCTACACACGTGTACACAGTTAGTCACATGTTTAAGTGCTTCACTGGATTGGAGACAAGGTGGTCAGCATTGTACAGGATCCGGCCTTAGTAATTATAAATTCTATTGACTACACTGGTACCTTAAACAGTTTATTTTATTTGTAATTTTACAAACTTCTTACCAATCATTTTTAAATTAAGGCTTTCAAGATAATTTAAACATTGTAAAGCAGAGTACAAGGTTGAACCTCTCTAATCCTGCACTCTCCCGTCTGGCAACATCCATGGTCTGGCAAGAGTTTAGTTAGCCAGATGTCCACTTACCCTGGCTGTGGCCAGGTTTCCCGCGGTCCCGTAAAGTTTGTTTATAGCCACCAGTTCTGGCTCTCTCAGTTGTGTGCTGTTATTTAGCTCTAATTTACCCCTAAATGTCTTGTAAGCCCGGTAAGCAGTGAAAGTGTTGGTAATGCTGTTAGACAACATTGACCTCCCACAGTCTGACAAATTCTCTGGTTCAGCGCCGGTCAGGTCCCAAGCATGCTGGATTAAAGAGGTTCAATTTATACTAATTTTCACTCAATACATATAAATTAGCTTGTAAAATATACAGAAGTTACATACCTGCAAGTGCTACTTTTCTGCATAACGTCAGCTCGATGATATCCAGAGAGTTTACAAAAACCGTCATTACTATAAACTACAGGCCAGTCCACAATCTGGGCATTTCCCAGTAAAAAGCTTGATTCTAAAAAAGAATAAAAAAGAGAAGAAAATTTGTAGTTAACCACCAAGTAAGGTAGCATAATCCTTGTGTTATAAACTAATTGCAGACATTTCTTCATATTGATAGCATCAACTGGACAGGAGTTTAACAGACAACTTAATTAAAGGCTCTAATAAAAAAAGGATGTGGTATTATAAAATGAAAAGTTACATTTGATTGGACAGGATTTGTTTCTAGTATGGTTTAAAGCTTTTCACCTAAAAGTACTAAAATACCAGCTTTTACCTATCAACAGCTGATCAGGATATTGGCACTTGATAAAAACCTTGAGCCACATTACAAATTGTTTTTTCATGTTAAATTGTCAGCATGCCTAGAATTGATAGCAGGCATGCTACATAAGAAGACAAATAAAATACTGTACATTTCAGAGTTCCCAAAGTGTTTCAAACAACTATTCAGAGGCAGCTACTTCTGGGGAGGAGGATGGCAGCCAACAGGCCGGGGGGCGGGGGGGGGAATTTTCACAGCTATTCACGGTGCTATATCGCATCTAAAATGGCAGAAAATATTTAAGCTGAATGGAACTCTAATATAGTAATGGGAAGCAAGTTAAAAAATTCATATTATAGATATAGAGACGGGAAGTGTCTATTTACAACATAAAAGTGTTGGCTCTAGTTCATTCTATCAGCCTATATCATTTCCTGTAAATGCTAATGTTTGCAGTGAGTATTTTCAGGAGGCTGACCCCACATTGAAATGTCACTTCAATCATCTGTTCTTCTTTTACTCATGGCTCCAGCTCATATACACGGATTGGAGCTAATCCTAAAATAGTCTGTTCCTCCAAGCTTCTTTCAGTAAGGTATATCTGAAGCAGGAAGTATCCATTTTCTTCATCTATATGCCACATTATTACATGTTTATCAGCAATTCAATGCTCTCCCTATAGTCTAAAGATGAGGTTCTCCTGTTGTGATCCAGCGTCAACTTTAAACGTTACGTAAATATGGCTATTAAACTGCTGCTAAAAACTTAATGAAATATAGCCATCAGATATTTCTCATGTAAAAACCTTAGTAGTGATACAAGTATCTTCCCCTCAGTGAAGGTATTATTCAAAAAGGTCCAAAAGTGAATTTTTAACAGCTAGCATTACAATAGCTAAAAGAATTATTCCCACTGCTTTTATTTATTTGATATATTTATTTTCCTTTCATATCAAAGGATGATAGTTTGAGTTTTATACGTTCTACGTTATACTCTTTTCTATGGTTAATTGGCTAGAATGGAGAGTATATAATCCAAATAGTATTCGATTGAACATGGTAAGTATATTGGAAACAATTTGACTTTCTACATGCCTCTCTCTTACATACTTTCCAAACTTGAATTTGTTTTAAAAAAAAAATCTGAAGATAAATATTTTTCCTTGTGAAAATCCAATACAGAATAACATAAGGATAGAGATTTGGGTTTTGTGAAATTTAACCTTTTTAGATTTGTATAATTAGTCTCAGTTCACCAAAAATCTCTCTTCCTTCACCTCACAAGGGGGAGTCAATATTTTTTAAACGTCTTTTTCTATCTACAGAAAAGCAAGAGCTTCTATGACTAGACTAAGACTAGAGCTTCTGTGCACACAAATAAATAAAAAATATGGGGTGACACTAAAAGTTGTACCATTGACTTCAGAGCCAAGATTTCACCCACTGTACCGGTATTTTCTGTTTTTTTCCCCGGACAGAAGATGAAAATCCTGGGTGCAGAGAGGCAGAGGCAAGAAAAGCCTCAAAAGCCTTCTTTTTTTTGTTTTGTTTTGTTTTGTTTTTGGCTTAACTTCTCAGGGTCCTTTTTGGGGGGGGGGTTCGGTATTTTTTCAGAAACCATCTGGCAACCCTAGAAGTAATGGGGAACCCCAGGCAGGTTCCCCTGCTTGCCCTGCAGCCCCGCACACAGCTCAGAAATGCGGTTGCGGGGCACATTCTCTTTATGAGTCTGGAGGAAAGAGGGGAAGATTCAGACACAGCTCCCACCCCCAGCACAATTCCTTTGGCCAATTCTGGTGAGAAACTGGCCAGTGGGAGCTGCATGTTTGAATAACAGAAAGCCACAAAGCAAACCCCCCTTCCCTCCTGCTCCGTTACTCACTCAAGCACATAGCTGAACAGGAAGAAACATTTTAAGCTCTGCAAGCCTTTAGCTTTGCAGGCAGGTTTGGCTGCTGGCTTGTAAGTCTCCTGGCCAGAGCCTGATTCGCACCCCAACCCCTCCCTTCCCAACTCTCTGCCCCCCAGTCCTGCTCTGCTACTCCACATGCATCCATACCCTCCCCCAGATCTGGCACCCCAATCTCCTGCCTGAGATCACAATCCCCTCCTACCCTAGGTCACATCCCAAAGCCCTGCCCCCCAGTCTCCTGCCCTACATCATAACTGCCTCCTTCACCCAAACTCCCTACCAGACTCCGTTCTCCCTCCTGAGCCCCAATCCCTTACCCTAAGCTCCCTTCTGCACCCAACCTCTATCCCAGACTCCATACCCAAACCATTGATATGATGGAAGAGTGCGGTCCTTGACCACTTTCCAATGTCTTGAAGTGGTCCCCCATCAAAAATTATTGCTCACCCCTGTTCTACATTGTGTGTCTCTGTTTGTAACCCTCACTGCATCATTTTCTCCCTACTTTCTAATTTGGACTTTCTGTTCTTTCTCTCGCTGTCTAAGAATAACACTAGTCCAGAAATGTTTGGATACGAGTTCAACTTTTGAACCCAGGATATTTAGTGTGTGCATCACTAATAGCTGGAGCTCTAAAAAGGGATTAAAGGACTTCATGGTGAGGACAAATATATATATATTTATATATATTGATGAGCAAACGTAAAAGATGGTCAAGTTTGGAAATGTAGCCAGAGTTCTTTTCTGCACCACTCTTATTTTCACAGCACTACTGCAGGATTAAAAGGACCTTATCCTTTAGTAACACACTCTGCCTTTCCGATTCTGAATACGACTGGTCCCATAGGATAATTCAGTGTTGTCCAGTTCATCTGCCTATTAGAACTGCTAAATGCTCTTCACAACATTCAGCCCAATTAATTCCTCTTGCGTAGGCTGGAAGACGCACACGATTCAGAGTTGGTGCAGGACTTAAAAGTTTCCATGAAAGGAAATTCTACTCGGGAGACATTGTGCTAATCTACAAGTAATATCACACACATGCACACACTCATTTTATATGATTATCTTCCCTAAGATGTTCTAGACACTTGCAAATAAAACACGCCTTACATGAAAATAGGGAATCTTCCATTCACCAGAAGCAAACTGACTGGCTAACGTTTCCATTGTATACATCTATCAACAAAATCAGATAGCCAAATGTAAAATCATTCGGGGACATCATGTGGATTTGTGACACTCCCTGGGGGACTTGTGGTTCACAAACCAATAAACAGATTATATAGATATGAAGTCTTATCATTTGTGACAGACACAATCTTGAGCCTATATTCCTGTTACGTAACTGTTTCAGAACACAATATACCCAGCATAAGAGGCGTGTCACAGCCAAGAGCAGACATATGGCATGCCTGATTTTTGTTTATATATTTGCACTTTTACAGCACCTTACATCTGAGGACTGCATAGTGCTCCAAAAGCATTAATTAACAAGGCTGCTCAAACCCATGGGAGACACGAAAGCAGCACTTGACTTTGGGTTCTTATTTTGTTCTGGTTTTGCTTTTTAGATTTCATGAAAAAACACACAAAAAATCAAACAAAAATGCAAAAATTTAGCACAACATCATTGTAACAAGCATCAGGTCAAAGAGAAACAAAAAAAACAAGCCTCTTGCTTTTTGTACTTAGTTTCTTCTCTTTAAAACTTTGAATAAGAGCCGATGATATACACATACCAGGGGATCAATGTACAAAAGTTTGTAAATACAACCTGGAAAATGATGATTTAGTAATCACATCCTGTCTGAGTCAACTTATAACTGCTTTAATGCATCCATGTAACATCAATCTTATCCCCCTCCCCCACTGGATTGCTGCGAGTTATTTTCTCTATCTAAGTTGTGCTTGACAACATTTACATTAACTCTGTGACTTTGTGACTTTGCCAGAAAAAAAATTTAACAGCTTTTTGCTAGCACCAGAATTTCGACACAAAGCAGGGTTAGCTTTCCCTCATCAGGACTGGAGACACCAGTCATTGGCTAATCTGTCCCATATATGTTTTGTCTTGACACAAATTCCTAAAATACCATGGGGGTCTGTGCAAAGTTTGTTCAACAGTTCTGAATACAAAATTCTGACCTTCTCCAAGCACCTGTAAATTAAATTATTTTTCCTGAAAACAGCAGGAAAAGGGCACCGACATGCCTTCTATAAAATGTATATCTCTAAAATCATAACAGGCATGGAGAAAGTGAATAAGGAAAAGTTATTTACTTGTTCCTATAACATAAGAACCAAGGGTCACCAAATGAAATTAATAGGTTGCAGGTTTAAAACAAACAAAAGAAAGCTTTTCTTCACATAGTGCACAGTCAGCCTGTGGAACTCCTTGCCAGATGATGTGAAGACCAGAACTTTTACTGGGTTCAAAAAAGAACTAGAGCAATTCATGGAGGTTAGGTCCATCAATGGCTGTTAGCCAGGATGGGTAGGAATGGTGTCCCTAGCCTCTGTTTGTCAGAGGCTGGAAATAAATGACAGGAGAGGGATCATATGATGATTACCTGTTTTGTTCACTCCCTCTGGGGCATCTGGCATTGACCACTGTCAGCAGACAGGATTCTGGGATGGATAGACCTTTGGTCTGACCCAGTATGGCCGTTCTTATGTTCTAGTGGTAAGAAATTAAGTATTCAGGACACAGAAATAAAATACACCTCCATTTTATTCAGACAAAGGCACAGAGTTGAGTGACATGCACAAGGTTGCACCCCAAATCTCTGGCTGAGATTGCACCCAGGGGTCCTTGCTCTTACCCCTCTGTTCTGCTAACATAACGTACAATGTTGCACATTTTTGTACTCTTATTTCTTTTGCAATCTAACCTCTAATCTATGTAACAATAGACATAAATGAACGGAGGGTACGGCATAGCAACTTACGTGGGTTTTACTTGGTATGAGATGTAATTTTGTGCTGGGATTCGGGGTTGCCAAAGCACGGAGGGGCTTTCCCTGTCCCACAGTTTCTGCCAGGGACAAGATCAGGGGCTGCTGGGGAATTCCCTCATCCCAACTGCCGGGGAATTCCCTCATCCCACCTGCCCAATATTGCTACTGCAGAGTGGGGACAGGGCATTGGGAT